GGTTGTTGTTGTTTTTTCTGTAGACGATTGAGCCAGAGACCTACTGCTGAGGAGTTGGAACAGAGAAACATTCTCCAGCGTAATTTGCCTCTTTATACTCACTCACTCCAGTTATTGTATTGTGATTTATTTTCCTGCTTCCGTTCTGTCCTCTTTTTTTCTCGTTTCATTAGTTACTCATTTATTCCTGTTCATTTATTCCCTCAGTGTTCACTGAAGGTTTGACACTGACCCACATATATTTCACTCTCCGTCTCTATTGGTTCATAAGATATTACAGATATTTTCTGCTAAATCGAGTGAAGTCTTTGCTTGTGTTTCTCTCATAGATTTAAAATACTTTTATACTTTCTACTTTAATAGTGGTCTGTCGTTTATGTTATTGGATTTGATTCAGCCTAATCGGTGTTGATGGTGTCTCTTCTTTCCAGCAAAAAACCAAGCAGACAGACAAGCAGAGGTCAGGGAGATCAAGCGCAGACTCACCAGAAAGGTGCGATTTCGGGTTGCTTGCATTAAATTGTACCTGGAATATAATTTTAAGGTTGATTTTTAGCAAGCATTGAAAGTGATTTTGCTTAAAGGAATTTCAATCAAACATTCAACTGCATTTGTGACATGCATTTGTCTGTTTTCCTTTTTTTAGTTGAGTCAACGACCGACTGTGGCCGAACTACAGGCTCGAAAAATATTACGTTTCCACGAGTATGTGGAGGTCACATGCGCTCATGAATATGACCGCCGTGCTGACAAGCCATGGACCAAACTCACCCCCGCAGACAAGGTACAACTACAGTACAAAAACAAAAGCATCTCATTTACATCTGCATAACTTGCGTATGTAACCACACACACATTTGTGTCTATATAAAGATCTTGAGCTTTTTATATATCATTTGACTTGAGTACTGGAGATTATAAATAGTCTTAAAAGACACTGCTTTCTTTTGAATTTCTCACTTATTGTTCTATATCTCCACTACACATAATTAACCAACTCCAGTGTTGGGGAAAGTTACTTTTAAAAATAATGCGTAACAGTATTGCGTTACTCCCTTAAAAAAAGCAACTAATTGTGTTACTTAGTTACTTTTTGTGGAAAGTAATGTGTCGTGTCATTTTTGTGTTACTTTTTCTTATCTGGGCTCGGCTCGCTTGTTTGTTTTTTAATTACAAAAAAAGTTCTGTTTTGGCAGCTGTAAAGGCCCTTTTGCACAGAGTTAAATGAATAAGCCTCAGTTTGGAGGAAATGTAAATTCACGTCTGTACAATAGAGGGCGCAGTTCAAACAAACCTTTTAGCTGTGATGCCATTCTGATTTGCATATTAATAGGATGCAGGAAAAGATAGGCTGCGTCCGAAATTGCATACTCTCGTGAGTTAGGTACTTATTTTGAAAAAGCAATTACTTTACAATTGCTTACAAAGTATGTTCTATATAGTTTGAATTTGTATAGTTTGAATGTAATCTGGACGTACTACCTTCGCCATGCTGCCATTATCACGTGACCTACCAGTGTTAGTTGTGTTGCTTCACCGCCGTTCAAAAATCCTCTCCTGTGGCCTCATGGGATAGTAAAGTGTCCATCATATGCAAACTTCAGAATCTCGCCAGAAGTGGAAGGTCATCTGGGTACTTTCGCCTGCTCTTTTATGAGTACTGTGAATTCAGACATACTACTTTTACCAGATACTGTTTTTCTCCTACTTTATAGTAGGGAAGTATGCAGCCAGAGTTTAACACTCTCAAGCTATAAAAACAAAAAAAGGAAACACAAATGTGATGTTTAACTAAAGTCATTTTAGCTTAAAATGTTAATTCCTTCCTTAAATTGGATCATCAAAGGTCAGCAGCAAAGACATCGATTAATAAAGTGAGATTAAATACATGGTGTATTTGTATAATTTAACATATTTAATTAATGCAGGTTTGCATTTCACTGGTTTCATCTGTTTTTGTGCAAGTGAAATGTAAATGCATGCTCACATTTAGTCTAGAACTACAATAACCATCATGTTTACACAGCGCACACAACACCTCTGCACTTACTCATGATTTTTTTCAACATGGGGACAGGGGTCCTGTCAGTAAATAAATGGGAAAACAAAACTTATCTTAACTTAGTAACTCAGTGATTTTTTTTGTTATAAATGTAAAAGTAGTGCGTTCATTAGTTACTTGGATAAAAGTAATCTGATTACATAACTCACGTTACTTGTAATGTTACCACCAACACTGACCAACTCTTAACCTGTTTAGGCTGCTATTCGGAAAGAGCTCAACGAGTTTAAGAGCTCTGAGATGGAAGTGCATGAGGAAAGCAGAATTTACACAAGGTAAGTGTATTGTTACTTGCAACCTAAAATTACAGAGAACTGCAAAGCATCGAACCATTTATTTGCATTTTTATGTGGATTTGTGTCGTTTCTAGATTCCATCGTCCTTAGCTGCGTCTTTAACTGGAAAATGAAGTACTTAAAGGCCGGTGGATATTGGGATGAAATGGCTGTTTTCTTCTGGTGAGGAGCCTCCGGGTGTCAGAGCACCTCTCAGACTGCTTTTACTATGAATGTACTACTTCAAATGCACAGGGTCACCTGGAGCATTCAGAAACGAATCGAATCAAAAATAAAACAGACCGTTTCTCAGTTGTCCACCCACTGATGTGTGGGACGGGTGACCTCTGGGGGACAGATGCAGTATTTCTCCTGGACTTTAGGGGACCCACGTGCCAAGACAGAGAGGCGATGAAGGACTTATTAGAGGATGTTACTTGTGCCAATGGCAGAAATTCCTCTCTCTACTCTCTAAATGGCCTTTTTTTCTGCTTTTACTTCATATGATAAACTTTATTTCCTTTCAGGGAAGTGTAACAAAGTTAAAAATAATAGTAATAATAATGATGTGACAATAATAAATACAGTAATACTACAGTAAGTGTTAGTTAATGACAAATAGCGGGGCAGACAGAAGAACTGCAAGAATAAGGCCTGAGCCTGGACATTAATTGTGTATTTGTGTATGTTTGTATAGGCTGCTGTAATTTTTCTTAGTTTGGGACTTTTTAACTTAGATACTTTAAGGCTCAAGATTTTTTTTGTTTCATAACTTTGGCTTTGGTTCTCTTTATTCAAGACAGGGTTACAGATCCCCCCTACTTTGTGGTCTTCACAGTTTGAGAAGTCATAGAGAAGAATAGAGGAAGATAGGGTCATTTTTTAGATAGAATGTAAGCGTTTCATATCTCACTATTGATCTACAGCGAAACTGTGATCTATTATCTTTAACAATCTTTTTTTATTTTTTATTAATCTTATCACCTTCTGTAAAAGTGAAGTCCAGCTATTTCAGTTTTAAAAGGTGTCCAAATTATGTTTACAAAATATTTTATTTCTAAATAAAAAGGATTTCCTGTTTATTTATTACCCATTTAAAAGGAGAATGAATTTAGTCTGGGCACGCACTGATATAGCTCTAAAAATGAAGTCTTTGTAAAGTACTGTAGACAGGGAGGTTATTGCGGCAGGAACTCTTCTTCATTTTCTGCAATTATTTTGTCATTTATGTTGTTTTTGGCCAGTAGGATTATAGGAATTGCTCTGCTGTACAGATCTATTCTGTAGATGAACCTGCCTGTTTGTGTATATCTTGTCTTCCTTTTATTTTGAAAAATATTTTAAATATATTGAAACTCATATAGGTTACTATTTTTTTAAGCACAAAATTATTAGTGTATTATTCAGCACTACAAGAATGGGAGCAGAATGTTCCATTGTAATGTAGCGTTGTATATTCTTGCTTTTTAATTATATGTGAAACTGACAGTAAATTTGCTGTTTAGATGTAAACACTAAACCCTAAATTAAAATGCTTACCAATAATGTTCGTGTTGCTTTTTTTTTTTTTTTTACTTGCAACATGCATTTTTATGACATATTGACTGTATGGTTTTGTGCACAGAATCTAATAGGTAATGATTCACATTTTATAATTTAAAGCCACATAATCTGTGCCACCGTTCTTCTGGGGACCTGAATTTCAGAAATAAAGATGTTAATCAAAATTGTTAACCGATTGCAGTCTTTACTGGGCCCCTTTTTTCACAGTTTTGAGATGTAATGTCCACATGAGATATTACATTGCAAATATGAGAAATCACAGTTGCAAAATTGCAGTTGCGAAAATAAACATACTATGTGCTTAATACGTTGCAAAGAAGATAAAAATGTGCCACAATTAGCAAATAACATCAAAGATGCTATGAGGTTTTAGAGAGCACTGTTGGTGCCAACAAAGGGCCATAAATGGGTAATATTCCTAATTTCTGCATTTGTCACAAATGTATATGGTCATTTTTACATCTGTAGTCACTTTTAGATGTCTACCCAGTATTGTTATTGTTAACTTAAACTACAGTATTAAAAAATGGTTTTCATTTTTGATTGAAGTTAAGTTGATATCAAATAAATTAGTAAAATTAGACGACAACCTTTTGCCTCGTTAAATAACTTAAATAATTTTAAGTAAAATTACTAAAACTGAAATAAAAATAAATTAAGGCTAAATAGAAATATTAAATTAATTAAAACATACAATTACTAAAATTATGAAAATATATAAAAAAAATCAAAATGTTAGTAAATACCATAATATGATATAATTAATCCTAATATAAAGGTAAAATAATAATGATAATATTCTCTTTACAAACCTTTTGCATTGATTTAAAAAAAAAAGCCCACCACATAATTATAAATGTTCTTTTGGATTTTATTTATTTATTTATTTGGTTGTGGTGTATCTACCTGCAGCTTTTCTCATTCTCAGTTGTGGCATATATTTTAAAATATTTAAAAATGTAAAAAATATTTAAAATAGTTTAAAATACCCCTAAAATAAAAAAAGATCGTGTAATATTTAACTGTAAAAACCTCCCGCCTTTCCAATAGGCGGCGCCTGCACATTTGTTTATTAGCGCGATTCCAGTGAAATACATGAAGCAGCAAGGCTGGAGTGAGACACGCGTGCGTTACACTCTTACAAGGAGTTACTGTTGTTCACAAACCTCCTCGAGCCAGCAAAATCATTGAACCTGGGCAATTATTGTTCATAATTGTAGGTTATCTTCTCAGCTGCCTACCGACGGTAAGATAATACAATTTTCTTTCATAGGCAAGGTCAATTTTATCCAATGTGCTTGTGAAATGTGTTACCGAACAAGTCTGTTTAATTCATTCATTGCTCTTAATCTCATTTGAAGTTTGATGTTTGTGCGGTGTAAGTTATTAAGTAATTTGTCGTCAAACTGAATGGTAACGTTACAAGTCTGAACCGTGTAGACTCTCCAGAGTGTCGCTTTATAAGGCTTGATCTGTTTAAACTTTTAGCGGGTTGTTGCTAAATGACTTTAAACTTGAACTCGGGTCCTATTCCGCCATGTTTAGATTCATTTCCTGCATCTAAGTTATGTTTAAAAGCTGAAAGAATAAGACCATCGTCTGTCCTTTCCAATACCATGTTTGACCGATAAACCGCCATCAAACATTTGCTGCTGTCAGTCATAGTCTGTGAAGTCAGCGCCAGAAAAAAGTGGCGGTCTCAAAACCTAGTAAGTTGCCTATATTTTTAGCTGTTATGATACACACACAAAAAAACAGCAACAGTTTGCACCTATGAGACCAAATTGGCGCACATTGTGCTTTAAGTATACTGCCTTTTAGGTTTTGAGACGCAGACAATGTGTAGCCAGTATGTGACCTTGTACAGCAGTGCAGATCCTGGAAAGTTTTTGTTTCTTAGGAGTTTGAAGTACTTCATATAGTAATAAGTGAAACTAGCCTTCTTGACTTGATAGCTGTCCTGGACTGTCTTACGTGTAGGCCTCAAATGTTGTTTAGTTTGGCCTTGATGAAGTTTAACATGTCTTTATTCATAGTTTTAGATTTTTGTCAATAATTTGGAGTCACCATGCCTGCAAAAAAAGCTGTAAAGAGACCAAAGATTGCAGCATCTGAGAACTCAACAGTTGTGAAAAAACATAAAGGTAAGCCGTCCAGTCTCTATTTTCTTGTCATATTGAAAGTGTCCCTATTGTGCCATTTAGCCTAAACATTCTTAATTTTGTTGTGGAGGTCTCCTAAAATAGGGTAACATGCATCCAAGGTAAAAAAAAAACACATTTTCTTATATGCATTGCAGCATTACCTCTTTTCTCGCAGCGTCTGAAATGGTTCGATAAAAGATTCGGTCTATCTTTGTCTGATTGATTGTCAGATGCCCCAGTCTGTTGTGATTGGTCAAGCGCTTGGACAGCGCATATCGGAAATGGAATGAAATAAGAACAAAAATGTAGAATTTGTTTTTCTGTAATATCCAGGCCTGAAAACTCATGCATTCTTTTTCTGTGGACGTTTGTAGTCTCTCACAGTAGTCATGGCCAGGAGAAGGGCCTGGTGCTTGTTCTCGGACAGGGTGATGTTGGGCAGCTTGGCCTGGGGGAGGATGTGCTGGAGAGGAAGAAACCAGCTCTGGTGACTCTTCCTGAGGGTATCGTGCAGGCTGTGGCTGGAGGCATGCACACAGTCTGCCTCAGCGACACTGGAAATGTAAGCAGAGCAAACAAATCATTAATCGCTGACTTCAAAACTCAAAATTATTATTATTATTATTAAAATTAAAATGATTTAGTTTTTTTCTGATGTCCTCCTTGTTGTCTTATTCCTGTGTAGATTTATACATTTGGCTGTAATGATGAGGGTGCTCTGGGTCGTGACACATCCGAGGAGGGCTCAGAGATGGTGCCAGCTAAGGTGGACCTTGGGGAAAAAGTTTTGCAGGTTTCTGCAGGAGACAGTCACACCGCTGCCCTCACGGATCAGGGAACGGTCTATGTCTGGGGCTCTTTTAGAGTGAGTATAGCCTTTTTGTATACTGTTACGAAGCGGAAATGTTGTACCAGTTTTGATTGACCTCTCCTTTCTGTTGCAGGACAATAATGGTGTCATTGGACTCCTGGAGCCCATGAAAAAATGCACATTGCCTGTCAAAGTTCCTATAGAAAAGCCTGTGGTTAAAATAGTCTCAGGTCGGTCATAGGAATTCAAGCTTTGACTTTAGTAGTCAGTCTCTGTGAAATCTTTTTTATGAAGTTTTTAATTCATTCTGAAGGAAATGACCATTTGGTGATGCTGACTGTGAGTGGAGAGCTGTACACCTCTGGATGTGGAGAACAAGGCCAGCTTGGCCGTGTGGCTGAGCACTTTGCTAATCGCGGAGGCAGGAAGGGGTTGAGTATGTATCTCCATGTTGATCGAATTGTCTCTACTGGAATGTGAATGAATAATTTTAGGGCTGGAATAACATGTCAGCACAACAGATTACGTAAATTAGTCTATTCGTTGCGCTGTTTATGGTCGTCCCTAATGATGGCAGCTCAGACTCTCGGCCTTTATTACAAAATTATTGAACCCAATCTAAAGTGTGTGAATTTTTTTTAACGGAGACCAAATAAAATGGTGCCCTGCACATTCTGTAAAACTGAAATGCCAGAGGCCTACCACAGCGGCACAACTTCTATTCAGGACTGTTGTCAGTCCCATGTTTTGTGCTTAATACGGCTGCGTTCATATAGCTTTCAGTTACGAACTGCAGTGGGCGCGAGGCTGCAAGACGCGTGGCTCAAACATACTCTCTACAACCGGTTACAAAGCACTTAACGCTGTTGTTGGTTATTTATAATATCTAATGGATGAACTCACCCCTCAAATGGGCTCATTTATTTAATAACGAGCAGTCAATCGTTGTAAACAGTTTTATGGACACCTCTATGGTTAGTTAGATTTCAGGTTGTGACTTCAGCTGTTTGATCATACAGCTGAATGAACATTATCTAAGTAACTACTTTAATCTTCTGAATTAACTAAATATTTCAGGATTCACACTTAAGCAATTGCCCAAAAAGTGACTAAACGCAGCCGTTGTAAACCCCATTCCTAATTAGGCTTACACAAACCTCATCTTGTCATAAATGGTATCATTAGGTAAAAATTCATACATTAATTAGTTATTTATTGGTAAATTAACCAAAGGATTATTCGGGAATAGATTGAAAGAATAATTGTTAGTTCCAGCCCTTAATAATTTTATTTATTTGCAATTTTGGCTTATTTTCTGAATGTTGTTGGTTTTCAAATATGCTCTAAAACAATCTTACTGACCCCAAAATTTGTGAATGGTTTTTAAACTTTTTTTTTTTTTCTCCCTCCCCAAGACTGCATTGATTTAAAAAAATTACAGTGGAGACAATATCGTTGTGAAATATTACAATTGACAGTTTGGTGCTCTAGAAATATCTTAATGTTGAGAAGTTGTGCTGCTTAATATTTTTGTGGAGTCTGTGATGCTGTTCTTTTGAACTTTCTATTCATCAAAGAATCCAGAAAAAAAGTATTTAAAATATAAATCTTTTATAACACTTAATATCTTGTCACTTTTGATTAATTTAATGCATCCTTGATGAAAAGTGTTAATTTCTTTCAAAAATGTTGACCCCACATGTTTGAATGGTAATGGAATAAATAATTCAGTGGTCTTATCCTCTTCCAGTTACCACCTTTAAGTTCGTTGTCTTCTACAGTGTTCACATAATTTTTCTTCTTTCTGTGTCAGTGAGACTGCTGGAGCCGCAGATGGTTATCATTAAGCCACGGGGGAAGGTCATCTTCACGGATGTCTTCTGTGGAGCGTACTTCACCTTTGCTGTGTCTAAAGAGGGGCACGTCTATGGATTTGGCCTGTCCAATTACCACCAGCTTGGTAAGATTCTTAGCTCAATCAGTCCTGAAGAATGAATGGTCTATCTTTTGCAGTCTTTTTAGAGATGTTTTTTTTATATATATATATATATATTTTCTTTTCTTTTCTTTTTTTACAGGCACCCAAAGCACAGATACCTGCTTTGTTCCTTTGAAACTTGGTTCTTTCAAGAACTCCACCACCTCCTGGGTGGGTTTCTCTGGCGGGCAGCATCACACGGTGTGCCTGAATTCAGAAGGCAAGTCATCCATAAACCTCGTTTGTAATACTTGTATGAAAATTTGTTGCGCTGGCACTAAATCATGTGTTCCACCAGTGCATCAGATGATGTTCAACTGCTGACTTCATCCACAGGACAAGTGTACAGTCTTGGTCGGGCGGAGTATGGCCGTCTGGGCCTGGGGAAGGATGCTGGGGAGAAGAGTGAGCCCACACCTGTCACTGGGATCAGTGACGCTCAGGTCATTGCCTGTGGTGCCTCTGTGAGCTTCGCTGTAACCAAACAAGGTGGGAATACACCCTGTCCTGGTTTAGATGCACTCCAACCCCTTCAAATAATCCTAAACAGACCTTTTTGACTTCAGGTTCATTTTGACTAATTCTAAATATTTTTTGCCTCTACAAGTTGTTATACAAAACTTGATATGCATTGTAAATGGTTTCAGACCACATGCAAATTTGGTATATATACACATAGAGAACCTAAAGAAATCTCTTATGCTCACCAAGACTGCAATTATTTGATCAAAAATATAGTAAACTACGGAGCCCCTAAGCACATGGTGATGTGGGGGGATAAAATGAGATGGTAGATTCTCTTGCAAAAGTATTGCATTTCCCAGAGAAACTTTGTTCTTTTTTGCAAAAGTACCAAAAAGGCAGTAATATTGCATGAAATTATTGCAATTTAAAATTACTTGTATTTTAAAATTTAACTTATTCCTGTTAAGGCTAAGCTCATTTTTAGCACCATTACTCCAGTGTCACATGATCCTTCAGAAACTATTCTAATATGCTGACTTGGTGCTCAAGAAACATTTCTTGTTAATGTTGAAAACAGCTGCTTAAAATTTTGTGGAAACGGTGATGCATTTTTATTCAGGATTCTTTGAATAGAAAGTTCAAACGAATAGTACATTTGTAACATTAAATGTCACTTTTGATCACGGTCTACTTTAATCCAGATACATTTAAAAACGGCGTTTTCATTTCAAAACGCTCTGTCCACACTAGTGTTTTCCGACGGCTCATTGTGGATGAGAAACTTTTGAAAAATGCCTGAAACCGCTAAATTCACCTTACTGCGCATGCATAAAACCTCACAAAAGCTCACTGAGATGATACAGATGGAAAAATAAAGTTATCACAATTTTTCTGACAGGATCATTTTATTTAGCAAAATATCTCCCCATTTACTGATGCGTCCAGGTTGCACTCAGTCACCATATGTTTGGTCTAAAACGCAACTGCTCATGTTTTGCCGCAGGACAGCAAATGTGAGTAAATGTTCTGTCATCTTTGCAGGACTGTGATCTGAAGAGTGTGCAAAATAACACATTTTAGCAACAGTGTGAAAGTGAATAGAACATAATAGGCACAATACCGGTATAAATATGGATATCTATTGGTACAGTGTGTCACATGACTAAACTTACATCATCGTTTTTAAATACCTCCGTTTTCGTGGTCCACACTACAGTAAACTTTGGAGAGTGTTTTCAAAAAGCTTTGTTTTCATTTCATATAAATGCCGTCTCAGTGTGGACGGAGGGCCAAAACGGAGAGAAAAAGATGCGTTTTCAAACGAAAACGTATTTGTGTGGACATGGCCTTAAATGCATCATTGCTGATTAAGTGTGAATTTTTTCAACAACAAACAAACAAAAAAAAACTTTACTGACTCCAAACTTTTGAATAGAACGGTAGTGTGCTTTTATGGCAGATATTTAAACACATTTATCTAATCAAAACTGATCAGTGCATTTATAGTTTGATACCGTTTGGGTTGTAGCATTGTTTGTCCCTGTATTTTTAAATGGCAAAAGCAGCAAATGACGTAGTCTGTGTATTGTTCACAAATGTATCCTCAACCACTGATTACATTAATTGTACCCCTTCACAGCAGTTTTTTTTTTTAGGACATTAACAAATAACATAGAATGTACTGTTGGCTTGTTTTGATCTTGCTTTAAAGCTGTGTTTTCGGTATCTGTTGGCCAGGCTCTGTGTTTTCCTGGGGAATGGGTACCAACCTGCAGCTGGGTACAGGAGAAGAGGAGGATGAATGGAGCCCAGTGGAAATGACAGGCAAGCAGCTGGAGAACCGTGTAGTTCTATCAGTGTCCAGTGGAGGGCAGCACACGGTCCTGCTGGTCAAAGACAAGCAGGAGAGCTGATCTTTAACTCCTTGACTAAAGACAGCGGAGCCAATCTACTGTATCAGTGGTATCTGTAACCTAAAACTTGATCAAGATTGGGGGAGTTTGGGATTGGTAATGCTTCCTGTGCTGAGCTAAGCCAGCAAATGAGGGAGGTGGTAGGTTGTGAAGAGGGTAGGATGAGTATCATCTGATTAAACCTTTTATCCCGCTTTATGGGGAGCCCAAACATTCACTGGATATGGTCCGGTAGATGATCAGAGACCTTTTTTATGGACTTTTGTTTCTTCTTTGCTTTATTTTCTTAATTCCTTTTTTTAACCAAGATCTTTAGTGTGCCTCCTGGAGACTGACTGTCGTGAATGATTGTGTGCATGTATGAGCTAAAAAGTGATTTAATAAGTGTTTTAGAAAGTCCCTTTTTTTTTTTTCTTTTTTTTTTTTTTTCAATTTTAAATTCCGCGTTCCGGTCTGAGCAATAAACGGTTACAATAGCAGGTCTAATCTTTCTCTTTCTCTCTTTTTCTCTCTCTCTCGCTCTCTCAAAAAAAAAAACTAACAGATTTGGTTTTGCTGTACTTTGCAGTGTTAAACTGATTTCCTAAATGAAACCATTATTGTATCCATGCATTGCTGGCCCTGTGGACAATTAATAAAAAATGAATCTTTACAGAAACTAACCTATGATTACTTATTTAAAACAAACTACTTGTTTAGTGCAGATTTATTAGAGCAAGAGTCACTTTTTTTTAATGTCTAGTTTCATACCTTAAATTATCTTCTGTGGGTTTATTGGATCCTCATATTTGTAAGTAACTTTTATTTGAATAGTTTATTCATCTGCATAAATTTCCTTGTGTAACTGTACTTTAAAGGGATACTCCACCCAAAAATGAAAATTCTGTCATTTACTCACCCTCAAGTTGTTGCAAACCTGTATGAGTTTCTTTCTTCTGAACACAAAGGAAGTTATTTTGAAGAACGATTGGAACTTTGGCACCATTGACTTCCATAGTATTTTTTTTTTTTTCTACTATGGAAGTCAATGGTGCCAAACAACTGTTTGGTTCCAATCGTTCTTCAAAATATCTTCCTTTGTGTTCAGCAGAAGAAAGAAACTCATACAGGTTTGCAACAACTTGAGGGTGAGTGAATGACAGAATTTTCATTTTTGGGTGGAGTATCCCTTTAAAGTAAAAATTAAATAGATATATAAAATTGGCATATATATATAATAACCTTACAAGCTTATAGAAGTGTGTTTCTTTGTGTGTCTCATCCATTGGGGGGCAGAGATGTGCTCTAAGTGCGTACTATCGAGAGTAAAAGGATAGTTCTTCGGTTTAATTATTTATATTTTAGTCTATTCCTTGCACACATCATTTGAATGTAGAGGGCTTGGATTATGGAAGCGTATATTGTGTAGTTTTTATTATCTTGACAGCCACTGGTGCTCGCTCCTCTCTGTGAAAATGCTTATTTTTCTGTTCCACAGACAAATACATCTAAACATTTACCAAAATTTCTTCATGTCTACAGCGGACACGAGCGACGTCTATAAAAAAACAATAGAACACAATATAACTGTGTTGTGCGACACAATAAATCCCTGACAGTAAACTGTCTGTGACCCTACGCAATAACCAGCAGAAATGTATACTCTGTTAGATTATGGAGTATCAGTTGATGCTTATATATGTATGTACTAAACTGTTGAAAGCACTTGAGGCTGGAAATGGTTTGGTCGCTATTGATAAAATTTGCAGATCAAAGCACCACTTCAGCCTCCATGAAGGGGAAATGGAATTGTGCTCTCGGTCTGTTCTTTATGTTACAGCCCACAGTGAGTCATGCTGAGAGACTTTGTGGGGTATCTCAGTTGAAAAGCCCTTCAAGGCCCACTTTCTCGGAAAGCTTTGAAATGCTAACAGCCTCTTCTGCAAGCACTTAATTGACCACCATCATTTAATGCTGTCATCAATGTTTTTTGATGCCTGGTGTGAGACAGCATGAGGTTGCTGCACTGAGAAGTGGACAGGGCACTGGCTTTAAATGTTGTTGTTTTTAATGCCAGCAAGCTACACTAAAGGCCTTATTCGCATAAGTTTCCATCATGCAGTTCCAAATATGTCACGAAAATGAAAAGTTTCACAGCAGGCAGCCCATGAATTGTTAAAAGCATTAGTATTTTCTACAGCTTTTTAAAGGAGCAACTTTTTCATCTGTCTCCATGAAATCAAAATTGTCCATTCTTTATCTGTATGGAATATTGCAGTATTTGTTATAAACTATTAATCTGTGCTCATTTTTTTTTTAAACAAAAAAGTGCATTCTTAATCTTTAATCAAATTAGCTTCCACTACCTCTTGCAACATCTCTTCTCTGATAACGTGTTTACTGGTGTGAGGGCCGGACAACCTGACCAATAGCATCCATCCAATCAGTTCTCCATGGACGAAATCAAGTCCTGCCATAAAAAAAAAATTCTGGTTGGAGAAGCATTTTAACTCTGATTTATGTCACAACAGGGAAGAAATAACTTCTGTTTAAAACTTTAAAACATTTTACACATGACATCAGTGAACTCTGCTTAATATTTAAAATTAAATTCGTGTACATATAACATGACCATGAAGCATTCACAATCTCCATAACCACATTATTTTTTCACTCATGAAATAAATTGATTGGCCTGTGTGGTTTATCATTGATCGGTGAATTCGTAGGTGAAATCCAGTCATATTCAGCAGGAATTCCTGAGATCTGGAATTTCAGGGCGAAAGATTGTTCAAGCATGGTGTTGACCAACAGAAAGATGCTTGGTTTGAAATTAGATAACTTTTGTCCCAGCTAACAATTTTTGGTTTCCACAACATTCCTTTTAAGGTTTGTTTTTTATTTAGTCAGGAAAGTTATCTCTCTATCTGCCTGTCTGTTTTCACAACTGAAAACTGGCACCTTATAATTGTTTGGATTAGATGTTCTTTTCTTTCAGGCATACGATGCACAATTTATGTTAATAATATCAGCATGCCTTTAACATGACCATTTGTTATTGTATAGCATCTCATCTTGATGGGTAAACAACCACATGTCACCGTGGAAACTGAACAGAGCAGCCTTTAATGGAAGTTCTTACTGGATATGGGTATGATTTTAACCCTATTCTCCTCAGATAAATTATAGGGACCTGCTTAGCCTAGAGCATGACTGAGATTATACGAAGTTTTTAATATTTATGTGTATTTATTTTGTTTTACCATGTGTGTGACAGTTGACAGTAAAAAAATAAATATATAATGATAAATATAGTCAAATTGAGGAGGCTCTTAAACTGACTTTTTGGGGGAGAGACAAACTGATATTACCTTCAGTTATTGTTTTTGATTTAGCACTTTCAATGGACATTAAGCATCAGTTGCATATAGCTATTATGCGAGTTGTTTAAAATCCACACTGACTCTCCGATTTAGCCCACAGCTTGTCAAAAATGAACCTCATAAGGACACAGAAGGGGTTGAGCGTTATATTGTGCAGAGTGTGATCCTCCTGATCAATCTAGATGACATGCTGTGTCTCTTGTCATTACTCTGCCTCGTGATGCTTCCCTCCGCTCAGTGTAAACAGTGTTGCTCTCTGATCCGCTGTTTATGCCGTTATGTAACAGACACTCCAAACCACAATCACAAGGAACCGGAGAAGCACATAAATGACATTTGCTGACCATAATGATGGTGTTCGCTATTCAGACCATTTACTCATCTAAGATTGTGTCTGCTGGCTGGTTGAGACTCTGTGTTGCACCGTAACCATTTCCAGAGTCCATTATCCCGACTGGCACAAGGTATACAGTACTGCAAACACAGTATTGCTTTAAGTATGCGTTTATGTACTGTTTTCCAAAATAACAGGTGCATTGATTCTGCTCCTCTTACTGTGTTGGAATTTAGACAGAGCAGAGGTAGGCTACTGTATGTAGTGAAAGCCACAGTAAACAGACAGGACCCCTATTTTCAATTATGCTTCAAAACGAATCAGCTTGATAATGAACAGATAGACAATGAAATGTTTAGTTTGACCTCCAGTGGCTGACAAACAACATTTTCTGCAGATCAACATCTTTCACAGTTTCAGCCTGTTTTATAGGCCTACCCTGTTTGTGAAAAGTGCAGAAATCGTAGAGTTTGAGAGGATTGAGTTCGTTGATTTCCATAAATATGGCTGTTTATTTTCCATTGACAAATAGACAAAAATGTATTATTATTATTTCACTAATGGTAAAACATATCGTTCAGGAAACTCGTATCTCCATATTTGATCATTTCCCAAAATATTTAACCAATGAAACGTATTAAAAGAGCTTGTGACTAAACCTCATAATTTCATTTGATCCTCATGACTGTCAGTCAAACCTCGTAACTCCGCCCACCTCTATCGTGAATGAAGTGCCACACGCTGTTTGGACCATATATGTATGACACATGCAAGTGTCTGACCATAAATATCAAGTTTGACAACACAGTTTAATTATTTATAAAATAAATTTTATACAATTTTATTTAGCTGCTGTGTCACAATATGAGGTAAATCCAGCCCTGATTATAAGCACACTGAGTGAAATTACATTTCATTGTATAGCCTAACTGGAATAAAAAATAAAATAAAAAATATAATAGTAAATAGGAATCTCATTTATAAAAACATGCACATACACAGATTGTGTGTTTGTGCGTGGTGTGTGTACGCTAAAATCCGTTCCAACTTTTATTTAAAAAGGTCTTTGATGTGGAAAAGTGCTTGCCTTGGCGCCATAGATCTAAGCAGAGTAGCAGACATACACACTTTTCCTTGTGGCAGAGAGTTGGTGTACGGAAATCTAAGCAATTCTTACCGCTCATGATTCTCAGATACAGCACAGGGGCCTTTATTTATAAAATGTTGCGTAGAAACTGTCCTACATTTGATCCTACAATCATTTCTCAAATGTGCATACGTGATATTCAGAGAACGAACGTACACACAAAAAACGCCTCTCTTCCAGATGTGAAATCTAAAAAACGCAAATGATCTTGAAATTGTGTGCAGCTGAATGGGTTCAGAATCAGATCTCCGCCTTGTAAACGCGCCTAATTAATGTCATTAACATATAAACTATCAGTATCACCAATCAAAGTCCAAATCCTTTACTTGAGAATGGCGAGTGGCAATAATTGCTTAAAGGGGGCTTATTACGCACCCTTTTACAAGATGTAAAATAAGTCTCTGATGTCCCCAGAGTTTCTATGTGAAGTTTCAGCTCAAAATACCCCACAGATCATTTTTATAGCATTGAAGCTTCACTTCAGAAGGCCTTTATTAACCCCCCGGGGCTGTGTGAATCACTTTTATGATGGATAGATGGACTTCAAAACAGAAACAACAATTCACTGCCATTATAAAGCTTGGAAGAGCCAGGACATTTATATATATATATATAGCCTATAGGCCTAACTCTTGATTGTATTCGTCTAAAAGAAGAATGGCATATACAAGGATGACTTGAGGGTGAGTAAATCATGGGCTTATTTTTATTTTTGGGTGAACTATCCCTTTAAAATTGTCACTTTTTGGGGGTGAGCAAAATCGGACTGTTTTTATGTGTGTCCCTTTAAATGGAAATGAGCTGGTACGGCCCCCTTTCAAGAAGAGGGCGTAGCTTCAAGAACTCATGTAACAACAAAACAGGACAATCTCTCGCACTGAAAATGTCAAAAGTTGTCAGTAGTGGTGTTCAGCCTCGAACCGGAGTCGGACAATAATGTCTCCTGAGCCATGAATATATGCTGCATGAGTTTATTGTATATCACACAAAAGATGAAGCATCTGTTTTCACCTGCAGAAAATCACCATAAGAGTTGAATAAAACGCAATACAAGTAGTGCGCATTAAATTCTTACCCATAAACTCTCTCTCCCTTGCATTATCATCAACATACACAGCGAATTACACAAAACAACTCGTTACAACTAACAGTAAACAAATATATACAGACCTTATGCCTTTTCGAGGGGTGCTCAATAAACTGGTAAACTTTACATACGTAAAACAACTCAGATGAACTGTAATAAAGTATTTGCTCTCCCTTTCATTACTGCTGTAACCAGTATGGCTCCGGAGACTGGATCACCAACAGTTGGTACTGACAGAGTACTCCTCGCTCAGGGCAGGTCTATGCTAATACGGCAGAGTCTGTCAGCAGCCGTGGGCGGGGCCTGTACAAAGTGACATCACTTTGCCCAGAATCTGCGAACGGTGTGTTCTGAGACACTGCTTATGATTTATGGGGATTAATTAAAAGGAGTGGGTGGATTTGTATCCATAGTGGTTGTTTACGCCAAAGTCCCTGTCAAGGAAAATCTGTTCTCTCTGCGGCCATGTTTGCAACGCCTCCGGGCAGCTATTTCGGGCATCTAGGACCAAGTCCTATCTATTTGAATGGGGGAATCCTGAAATCTCAAAAACTGCTTGCTGACCTCGACTAAATAACATATTTTAAACAGCAACAAAATATGACATGAACTGTCCCATAAATGTTGTTTCTTATGCTCAAATAGCATTAGAAAAAAGCATATTTTTCAGGCTAGACCAGCCATTGCGCTTGTGCAGTCCTAAGCGTGAGTCTCAAGTGGGAACCGGAGCTTCTAACCACAGTAATGATGTAATGACTTTACCAATCAGTGATTGGCTTTTTTTCTTAGAAGGTGGGATGTATTTCGCCATATTGCGTGTTGCAGTTTCTCCCATTTATAAGTAATAGGAGTGAACCGTATTTGGTTTACACACACTGCCAACACACATTTATGTTCAAACACTGTGTAAAAGTGAATTTTGCATAATAGGTCATCTTTACATTTTCAAATATCTACAGTTCTCAGACTCTCTGCCACGAGGGAAAGTGCGTACGTCTGCTCAGACCCTGACAATTGGTGCTAAGCACTTTTCCACATCAAATGCCTTTTTTTGGCGTGGATTTTAGCATACGCACACTCGAAGGCCCCTAGCTACTTTACTCAAAGCACTTATCCCAATATATTTTAAAATGGGGTCTATAGGTTGTCTGCTGAAGAGGTTATGTAAAAGTGATTGAGTCTCCAACCTTTACAAGTACCTGCGGAAAAACAGCTTTTTTAGGGCTTTTGTGTTTTATTTTTACCAAACAAAATTTAAATCTTTAAAACAGCATAAAGAGTCACAAGCTTATCATTCAATATACAAGATGATGAATGTAGATTTTAGATACTAAGGCACACTCATCATGTGGGAAGTGAAAATTGTTAAGATAAAGGTTATTTTTCCCAACACCCATGCAATCTACAGAAAAATGTTAATAGGCTACTTTAGCTTTCACGCTGACAGTTCAGACAATTGGTGACGTCTAATTGCCATGCATCCATAACAAATTGATTCATGAGGAAATATGCAACAGTTTCGCAAAAGTACATACAGGTTCTACAGAAAAGAAATACTCACTGCTAATACATAAACACATTCCTGACTGGAAAAAAGTTTGTTTATAACAGCTCAAGAAACTAAACTCTCCTTTTACAGCAAAGCTGACATTTAGAATAAGACGCTAATATCCCAAAATAAATCGTTAGATGTGGATTTGAAGAAGGTCAAAAAACAGCCATTCTGCACTAATAGCAATGAAATGCGAGAATTGTTGCAATAAATACTTCATAACAAATAACTAAGAAGAAAATATCTATGTGATAGGCTCAGAATATGTCTAAACGCTGTACACTTCTTAGTCAAAGGTTATCAAACACCTTCACTAGTAGCACAACATTACACCTTATCAAGCACCATGAAATGAACATTGTGTCAAGAGTTTATGTGACAGTGTATTTTAACAGCGATCCTGAAGAAAGTATTCTGTCATCCATGCAAAACTTTCTTGCAAACCATGAAATTTTGGTCCATTCTCTGTATCCGACACATCTCTTTCTCCATATATCTTTATCCTCAGATTTAATGAAATCCTTTCATTATGGAGTGGAAAAAGACTTCTGTACATTTTCATTGTTCTGTGAAAAGTGATCATTTTTGTCTCTTTAAATAATACTTCCATATTTTGTTGTTTGAGAAACTGAATTTGTGTATTCAGTACATCGTTTGGCCCCTGTAATAATGTATTTCAGTAACAAGATCCCACAAATCCCAGGGAAATGCATTCACTTTTATTTAAAAATCCAATTACGGGAGTCCACTTTGATGGCTCATATACCACTAATGAATGCAGATTTCCTATTGACCATTCCAATGCCACATTTTTTATGTTTTTTCCACTGCATGAGTAGAATCTTGATGGTTCAAATGGTCTCATTTCCTCACTTTGGAAAACATTTAGCAGATTATTTTCCCACAAACGAACCAGCATTTTGCCTTTCTGTATATAAGCTTGTCGCCAACTTTTATTAACCTCAGAAAAGTTTAAAACTCAGTGGTGGAGATCTGGGTGACCTCAGACTGCAGGTCTTTCTGTGTCCTTGGTTGCGTACCAGGAGGCATCTGGTCCAGGTCTAGTCATGTGGGCTGCTTCATTGAATCAGACTTGGCGCACACTGAGATGGGCTCTCTCGTGGCCCTACGAGCTCTGGAAAAGCTGCTGTGCTTCATGCGAGAACGAAAGGGCACGCAGAATTCTCTGAAGCACCTCTTGAAGTTTTCATCCAGGAATGCGTACAAGACCGGGTTGAGACTGCTGTTCATGTAGCCAAGAGCAATACACAGGTGCCAGCAGGTGGCAACGAGCAGATTCTTGTTGTTGATCTCCACCACAGTCCTGACGATGATGAAGATATGGATAGGGGTCCAGCAGATGATGAAGGCTGCCACCACCACCAATACCATGCGGGTAATACGCCGGAGGTTCCTGTCCTTCTCTTTGGAGCCGGACAACAAGCGCACACTCTTAAGGCGAAAGATCATTAGGCCGTAACAGATGGTGATGACCAAGACGGGAACCACAAAGGCAAAAATGAAAACACAGATCTTGGTCACAGTATCCCAATACTGCAGATTTGAGTCTGGGAATTTCAACATGCAGACCGTTTTGCCTGGGGAGAATATATATGTAAAGAAAAAGATAAGAAGATTGGTTAATTCTAAAGTAATTTCTTGGATTAAATTTACTGATCAGTTGTTTTGTAATTCCCTAACTATTCATTTTTTATTTACAACAGTTATTTCCCATCTTTGAATCGGATTGGCCAAGCACTGAAATACATTAGTATATGCAAGCTATATTATTACGTTAGGTGACGACAAGTGACTCCCTGTGTCAGAATATGCCTACTTTCCTACTATATAGGGAATAGGCAAAAATATTATAAAGTGCATATCTGATAGATGCTTTACTATCCCATGAGGCCATGGGAGAGGAGCTGTGAATGGCAGTGAAGCAACGCAACTGACACTGGCAGGTCACATGATTTTGACAACATGAAGAATAGTTTGTTCATACTACTACTCATACTATACTTCGCGGCCGTTAAAACAGTATTACTATATAGTATGAATATGGGTAGTAGTATGAACAAACTATTCTTCATGTTGTCAAAATCATGTGACCTGCCAGTGTCAGTTGCGTTGCTTCACTACCATTCACAGCTCCTCTCCCATGGACTCATGGGATAGTAAAGCATCTATCAGATATGCACGTTATAATCTTTTTGCCTTCCCTATATAGTAGGGAAGTAGGCATATTCTGACACTGGCAGGTCACATGATTTTGACAACATGAAGAATAGTTTGTGATAAAATGGCCGCGAATTATGTTTCAAACCAAGTATGGAACCTAACAGTTTCAGTTTCGGTGCATCAGTCATTGAATTCAACCAACCGATTATTTAAAAACACTGATTTCTTCAGAACCCGAAACTAGCAATTGTCTTTATGAGCAAGCGTTAAATCATTCGTTCAACTGATTTGTATAAAAATAATGATTCATCCACAGCAAAACTGTGTATTGCTCAGAGAGCGTTAACTAATTCAGCATGGTTTTGTTAATACCGAATTTGTTAGCAGAGCAAAAATAGACAAACGGTAGTTTGACAAAATAGACAAAATAGGTACGGTAACTAGCAATTTTGGATCTAAAATATAAGTTACTCAAAATTAACATCTAGTTTATTGTGCTATAAAATCAAATACTTCTGTATTTTCCCCCACTCACTTTGTTCTCACCTTTATCTGTCACTGTAACGGCCATATACATGACTGGGATGCCAACAGCAGAGGAGAGAATCCATATGCAGATGTTGATGATCTTTGCTTTGACAGGCGTGCGGAAGTCCAGGGCTCTCACTGGATGGCACACGGCAATGTAACGGTCCACACTCATCATCGTCAATGTGAAAATACTGGTAAACATGTTGTAGTAGTCAATAGCCAAGACCACTTTGCACAACAGCTCACCGAATGGCCAGGTGCCCATGAGGTATTTGGCACTCTGGAAGGGCAGAGTACTGGTGGCTAATGCATCGGCCAAAGCCAGATTAAAGATGTAAATGTTGGTAGCTGTCTTCATCTTTGTGTACCTGTTGAAGAAAAAAGAGCAAAAGTCAGCCTGAGAGAATCAGCTACACAAGCACTTCATAGTTTTTGAATGTCGATCAGCTGCACCTGGGTTTGCAATGATGATATGAACATTCAAGAATTCAGATGCAGATGAATGATGAATTGGATGTGCTGATTGTACATGATTTGAGGCTCTTCTCGCTTTTGCCCTTTTCATTATAAATATGAGATGATTAACATGAGCACATATTTCCATTCGTGGTGGATCATCATTTAACACCCTTCTAAACTGTATTCAACGTTTACTCCAATAATTAAAACATTAACATTAAAAACATTAAAATAACTTCTTATAATATATAATTATTATTATTATTATTATAGGCTATAATGGCTAAACGGCTATGTCTATGGAGAAATAGTGAAAATGTGTAGTTACAACATCTACCAGCAGGGGCTAACAACATGCTTTCATAAAATTAAGGTGTCTCAATAGTCTCTCTGTGATATCGTACAATAATCAGCTCATAATTTTCTCTGTATTTTTTAAATTAATAATGGGCTGATAAATGATGGGGTTGTCTATAAAAGGATGCAAATAGTTACTAAAGAAAAGATCAATGCCAAAGGCAAAAAGTGTAATCCATTGATTATCCTCTCTTTGGGATTTGTCTGGAGCCCACACAGTGATCTCTTTTGAGGACTTGACATTTGAAGTCTCATAGCGTTGAAGAGAGAATACAGCACATCCATTAGTGACACTACAGTTTTTTCCTCTCTTTGTACATGGCTACACGTGTAGTGTGATAAATAAATCCATTATTATAAGTTCCATTAAGTCTTTTGTACTGAGTGCATAACATGTTTTGTTGTATATCCATGACTCATGTTTGCATCTCTTATTTCACACTGGTCCCTAATTCATAAGGAAATACTGGTTTGCTATGCTAAATTTGTAGCATTGCCATCAATCACGTTTTTCATGCTCATCAGGGAACATATTTCTGCAACAGGCCTTGTTGTTTAGAGGTAGTGCCATTATATTGACCTCTGAATGGTGTGTGTGTGAGTGTATATAGCTAGAGAAGCAAATAGTTTTGTGTTGCTGTTGTTGTTTTAATCAAAAACCTTAATACATTTGTTTCTGCTGTTTCGTCTTTTAAGGACACTTAGTTCCCTTTCGTTGTCACTCCGAGTTACGTCGGATGACGACGAATGGGATTTCGCTTAGAAAGCCTATCGACTTCGAGTATTAAAAAATGAGCCAATGGCAAAGAAATGCCATGGGTCTGCGGAATTTGCATGGCGCAACTCCGCCCCACCTCGTGGGTATAAAAGGAGGACGCCAGCAATATGCAGGTATGTTTTCGCTTCGGAGCCAAGAGTTTATCTTCACTCCACAGCCATTTCTGACTTCACTCTACGAGACGAGCGACTCTCCGGTGTTGGTGTGACGGCGATCTCCAGCGAGTTCACACTGCCTGCTGATTTGTGCAGTGATCTGCCTGAGTGTGTTTCTCCCTGCTCGCTTCAGCATCTGCAGAGTTTTTCCTCTCACAAAAGAGCTTGCACGCTTGCACGCGATCTTTTTAAAGACGGCTCGCCCGTCCATTTCTGGTTGCGGTCGATTCATTTCTGACTCTGATGGGCACATTCTCTGCTCTGCGTGTTTGGGCATTGATCACGCTAGAGCAGCGTTTGTGGATGACTCATGTTCTCTCTGCGGGAACATGAGCATCGCGTCATTACGGTCGAGACTCAATAATCTCGTTAGAGAGAGAGTCCCCTCATCCACACCCCGATCTACACCCTCCACGAGAGGTGGTACTTCGGCTGGTGGCCAGGGTGACCTGGGGGTGAGGGTGTGGAACAAAACACCGACTGTTTGTCCGCGGACCACGCCCCCCTCTTCAGTGACGCAACCCGCGAGTGTTCAGGGGATTCCCCCGGGTCTATTTACGGATGCCCCGCGGGTTTCCCTTGACGCTCCAGAATCGGATCTGTTGTCCATCGCAGCATCACAGGGCGGACTAGAATATTCAGGAAGTGAAGATTCGATAGTGCTGCCACCTTCGGGTGTGCATATGGCATTTGTCAAGTCAGATCCTGAGATGACGGCCATGCTTACCCTCGTCGGCATCCAACCCCAATACCTTTCTTCCCGGATGTGCATGAGGAGATCTCGAAATCCTGGAAGACCCCCATGTCTTTCCACGATCCCTCGTTGATCTCCTCCGCTTTTCCCCCCATCGACGGGGCCGCTGCCCATGGGTACACTGGGGTTCCCCCGGTTGAACGCTCTGTTGCGATGCTACTGTGTCCTCAGAGTGCTTCTTCTCGGCGCGACCCTGAGCACCCCTCCGAAGCCTGTAGTTTTTCGTCTATGCTTGTGGCGAAATCCTATAGTGCCGCAGGACAGGCAGCCGCCTCACTGCATGCCTTGGCCATTCTGCTGGTCTACCAGGCCCAGATGCTCAGGGATATGCACGAGGGCAGAACTGACCCAGGGCTCTCTAATGAGCTGCGCGCTGCCCCTGACCTTGCTCTCCGAGCGACGAAAGTGGCCGCACGAGGAAAAAACACACACAAGAGAGGAACAAACACAAGAGAGGAACACACACAAGAGAGGAACAAACAAAAAAGAGGAACAAACAAACACCAGGTGGGTCAGATGATGTCCACCAATGTGGTCCAGGAGCGACACCTGTGGCTGAACCTGGCTGATGTGCGGGGTGCTGACCGGACTCGTCTGCTCGACACCCCATATCCCAGGCCGGCCTCTTCGGTGGTGTGGTTGAGGACTTTGCCCAACAGTTCTCAACTCCCCAGGAGCAGACTGAGGCTTCCCAATATATTCTGCCCCGCCGGCCCGCTGCTGCCCCGCCGTCGGCTCAGATCCCTCAGTCTGCCCACCGCCTGAGAAGCCCGTCTCAGAAGCGCCGCTTAGCCCGCCGTTTAGCGGGGGCGGGGCTGGAGAGGGCTGTGGCGCTTCTGAGACAGACTTCTCAGAGATGGGACTCAGTTCTTTCCAGGAGGGGGTAGCAGGCCCACTCCTTCCCCCGGCGGAGGGCTGGGGAAGAATCCTCTTTTCTCAGAAAGAACTGACTCTCCCGTCGTCCGAGCACAGAGTTCTCGGACGACACGGTGCGCCGCCCCCGGGCCCTGCACCCCTCGTCCTCCTCTGTCTCAGAGTCGGATGACAGTGTGTGCCGTCCCCGGACCGTACCGCTCTCATCCCCCTCTGTCGCCAGACCCCTGGCAGAGCAGGCCCCCGCGGAACACTGGTCCTTCCCTGGCCTCCTCTGTCAGGGCGCGGTTGATGACCTTGCCTCCACACAGGGCCGGTATGCCGTCCACGTCCGGGCCGGTCACTCCGCTTCGCTGCCCCACCGAGGGGACGTCTGTGGTTCGCATGACCCCGCTGGTGCAGTTCTTGAGAGCCTGGTTAGAGCTTCCCCATCTCTCCCGCTGGGTCGCACAAACTATCAGGCTCGGCTACGCGATTCAGTTCGCGCGGTCTCCTCCCTGCTTCAGGGGAGTCCGCTTCACTATGGTCGGTGGCAATCAGGGAGGACGAGGAGCAGGTCATTCTGGTCGCGCCGCACTGGCCCATCCAGACCTGGTTCTCCAACTTGTACTCCTCGCGACAGCACCTCCCTGGCCAATTCCTCTGAGGAAGGATCTCCTTTCTCAGGGACGGGGCACCCTAAGCCTCAGGGCTGGCATTAATTGCATATTCTCTGAGATATGAGATATGCTCCCCACTGTACCTTGGTATTACTGTGCTAAATAGGAGTCCTTCGTCCGTGCTAGTCTCACGACAGGGATCTCAGATTTACGCAGGGCACTGGAAGACAGCTGGAAGGTGGCGTGATTAGACTGGTAACCCCATTTGTCGTCATTTGACATAACTCGGAGTGACAACAAAAGGGAACGTCTTGGTTACGTATGTAACCCTCATCCCTGAGCAGGGAATGGAGACGTTACGTCTGCCTGCCACTTCCGCTGTACCACGGGGATCGCCTGAGCTCAGTCTTGGCTCCTCAGCGAAGAAAGATATCTGCATATTGCCGGCGTCCTCCTTTTATACCCACGAGGTGGGGCGGAGTTGCACCATGAAAATTCCGCAGACCCATGGCATTTCTTTGCCATTGGCTCGTTTTTTTATACTCGAAGTCGATAGGCTTTCTAAGCGAAACCCCATTCGTCGTCATCCGACGTAACGTCTCCGTTCCCTACTCAGGGAACGAGGGTTACATACGTAACCGAGACGATATTTTTACTGGGAAACCGGACAAAAATATCATTTATATATCAAATATCAGCTTTTTGGTGCAGTGTGAGAAATAATGGATTAAAACGAGGGGAAAACTTTGATGTAGATGCAATCTAAAATGCATTCATATCAAGTTCTCCGTATGCAATTGAAACTTCAGGGGGAATTATTAATGAGTTCTTTTCACACCAAACTTCCTATTGTACAGGTTTATCCTTCCAGGCTGTAGTGTCTGATACACTATAATATTCTCTTCTGCTACATTTTTTTTTATGTCTCCTCAAAGGTAGGCAATCCAGAGATTCCGAATATGATTAGTCCATTCAGACTTTCCCTCCGGCAATGGCTTTGCACTCTTGAATATATGTGCTGTGAATAGATAGAAAGATCTGAACCACTTACATGCCAAAGGCTCTATTTATATTCAAATTCTTTTTGGTTCACTTCCATTTTCTTTTCTAAATCGAGCTGTAAAATGCATGTTCACTTTAATAGTTAAGTTTAAATGTATCAATGCAATCTAACATAATTTTCCTTGGTTAAACATTTTTTTTTTCTTTTTTTTTCGGAGTTCCTATTCTGTTAATTTCCTTACAGCGTTCTAATGCTTATTTCATATTTGGAATGCCTGAAAGGTACTATAAATAGAATGCTTTATGTGTTCGTTTAAAGGAACTCTGATTAGTTGATTAGAACCTATAGGCATTTTAAAGGTGCCTCAAAAGACCCTAGTCAGGGTAGAAGAGTTTTGGCAGGCATGAAAACAAGGTGAGCGATATAAGTAGTGTGTTAAAAAATGTTAGTGTTTAGGGTTCTTACAGGAACTTATGGGTTTAATTTTTAAAAAGTTTCTTAAACTTTTAGAAAGGGTGCTTAGAGGTTCTACATTGGCCATTGGGCTTGCCTGGTGGTGATCTGAAATGTTGCCTGGAGTATCTTTTTATTTTACAGTGATAAAACAAGACACTTCAAGAGGAATTGTGATTAATTTTTAGCTTAATATGAAGCCTTTTGTGCGATATATATATTATATATTATATATATTATATAAGAAACCCACCCGACTTTGTGGTCAAAACCTCAATATAAGGGAACTCTCCACCCTCAGATGAGCACATCACAAAAATCTACTCCTCATCTTTGTCTTTCATCTTCTCCCACTTGATCAGATTCCAGTCAAAACTCCCATGCCCAAGACATTCTCTGTAGGCTACATGCTATATATTTCCTGGGTTCAAATAGGTGACGCTAATTACGTTTATCTTTCTCTTTAGACTTTGTGCACTTATTGTACAGAAAACCAACCAGCAGAGTTTAAGCTAAGAGGCATTTCTCGGTAGCTATTAATGTCAAGAGTGGTTCATTAAATAATGACTGATTATCCCAGTTGCAGAGACTTTTGAAGTAGGCTATAAAGGATATTCATTGAATAAACTAGTTATCTTACCTGACCACACCGTACATAACCAGAATATTTCCAAACAATCCCACCACGCATATGACTGAGTACAGCGCAGTGATGCACACAGCGATAGCGACCGCACTGCTGCCTCTCACCGCCTTCGGCTCGCTGCCCTCGCTCCAGTTGGACTGAAGTCCCGCTGGTTCCTCCATAAAGCTCGAGTTGTGGAGAATTGAATGATACTGTTCGAGAAAATCATTAACAGTTACTGTTGGAGGCTCCATTATGCGCTTCCCTTGTATAATGCCAAACGTATTCTAATGCGACTCAAAAACGGGAAGAATATAAACATATATCGTTATTCTAAAAGGTATAGAAAGATATAGAACAGTAGCTATAAGGACATCAACTCCACTGGTCACTTTACGCAGCCTTCCTTTTCTCTTCTCCTCTGCTCGCGAGCGCACTCGACTTCCAACTGCGCGTGCTGCTGTGCATGCGCTCGTACTTTCTCCCGAACTACAAACCATGTGCATGCATAGTGGAACACAATGAAAATCTGCGCCCACACACAAAAGTGTCACTCGACATACTGTAAACAAACATCCACTATAGCTATGCTATTTACTATTATTTCTTATATGGTTCCACTCTCTTAGAAAAAAAGGTTGAATTGGGGTTCTAATGAATGCATAATGCTTACATGTTTAACATTATTTAAAATTTTCAAGTGATAAAGTATGTTTACACGTGTTCAATTCATAACTTTTAATCAAAATCAAAATAGTTAATTAAAATGTATTATAACTAAATTTCTGTAGTATATAAAGCACCTATTTTTCTTCTAGTTCAGGTAAAGAGATAAATACATTTTTGTGGAAATCTGTGCCACATAAAGGCTATAATTTGGGGGCTTATAAGTTCTTGGCCTTGCTGCTTTGAGGTGATACATTTGTCAAGATTGTGATTCTGTCGAGCACTGCTCTTGGCTTCATTTCATGAAAAACAGGGCACCATCTGGAGGCTTTGTATTTAAGTCAAGCTGTTACAGCATGTTGTTTTGGTACCTCTTAAGACATTATTGAGTTCATTCAACTTGCCAGAATTCTACATGTACTTTTATATTAATTCAACTCATTCTACATCAATGCATAATACATGTCACATCCCTCATAAATGACTTACAGTACATGTGCTAGGAGGCATAATATTTAAGTTTGACCCTCATGGGTAAATTTGCAATTAGCACACATTTTGATAATGGAATCCTGTTCAACTGATTACATGATTAGTTAAATCAAAAAAGATTCTTCACCATTCTGTGGCTTCTAATCGCAGCGGTTATGCGGAAATGAAATTATATAACAGAGAATCAATTTCAAGCACTTGACAATATCCTCCCTGCATGGCTCTGGCTCTCTACTGTTGCAACATTGTGCTTTTTATCTAAAATTTATGATGAGCGATGTTAAAAGTTACCTTTTGTATACGCTTTGTATCACTCAGGAAACAGGATGATTTCTCTAGGGCTTGTTAAAAGAACAGATCAAACAAACAGAGATAAACAAAATAACAGAGTGCTGTTTTTATAATAAAATGTTATGCAACGCTTTCACACAGAACAGAAATCTTCCATGATTTAAAAAGACTAAATGTGCTTGAAGATTTCTTTCGAGTGAATTATCTGGTTTCTTAGTGCCATGAGCATGTTCTAATGAGAGTGAAATTACATTTGACTTGCATGACATTAGTATAAATGAATGAATCTGTATAATGGATGTTAGACAGTGAATTTCAGAGCAACCACAAGCTTACATCTTCTGCACTCAGTCTGTTTTGTTTCATAGGTCACCATTTTAGCTGGCCAGTAGACATTTAAACTGAGAGAGCATCTGTTGTTACAGATGGCTCGATAAATATGACTTGCTGAGAGAGATTGGATCATTAACTTGCAGACCATTCCAGTTGTCCCCAGACAAAATATTTCTGGAAGTTCTCAGTACACAGCCACCATTTTTTACTCCTTTTCTATGATTTAAGAGTTACCAGTTCTACCTGTGATTTATGTCGGGTTTGTCCGAGACCAGATGCTAAGCTTGGCCACTTTGAAGTCTTCTTCAGATTGAAGTCTGCTTTAGCCTGACAGGTCCAAGAGCCAGATGCACACATTAAACCATCTGATCTTTAGCCAAACCGTCGTTTAGTTGTGACTGAACTGACCATATGCCATTTAGAGAAAAATAGGATGGAATATTGGCAAAATAAAATCCTGAGCCTTTTTATATTTTTAAAAATTGTCGACGAGAGAATGAGAAATGTTTCTTGATCTTCAGACTGATGATGTGATGTCTAGCCACAAAAATTGAAGCTTTGCCAAGAAAAAAAGATGAGTGTGAAAAAACAATCAAAATGTTAAAGTTTTATTTCCAATATAATACTGTCTCTTACTTTAAGTTTTAATAAACATAAGTAACCACTAGATCAAATAATACATACAGGAAAAAACAGAATAATTAACATAACAATCATAGCCAATGTTGACACAGGAATTAATGCATGTATGCAAATCTGAGGGAAATGCTTAATGCAGGTTCTCAACCAACAAATTTGTAATTGCAGCTATATTGCTCACTGGTTTGAATGGTCACAGGTCATTTCAAGTGGCTTTGGATCAGCACTTGATAATAATAATCTGATTAGTTATTCTTTCTTTAAAATTCAGGCCTCAATAAAGCTATTTACATTTGGAGTGATTACAGGATATTAAGCAGAGTACATACATAATGGTTTTTATTTACCCATATCTGCTGTTAAATATTTTCTTTGAAGTGGTTAAACGGATCATGTAATGCTCAAATATTACGTATTGGATTGTTATGAAGCCTCAGTTCGCCTAAGAATCAGTGCATGATAAGATGGCTGGTTTGCTTAATTATCATTAATGTGAAGGACAGAACAGCCACGAATGCCATTAGCATCTAATCAGTGTTTCTGCCTCTTGTCATCAACAGAACTGATGAATTCAAGCCAGTGGGAATCTAGAGTGAAACATTTCTACTGTTTACTGGGATGTTCATTTAAATAAAATAAAAAAACTTTATAAGTTTGTTTTTGTTAAAAAAAACAATAAAATAAAAAAACACCTGTCTACCTGTTCTAGGGATATTGGATTTTGGCCGATATTCGATATGCCGATATTTTCAAACTAATTTTGCACGATACCGATGTATTTGTAGCCTATTTGTAATTTTTTTAAGTCTCTCAGGTTGTTTTAAACCCAAATAAATTTCTTTCTTCTGTTGAAAATAAAAGTTATTTGGAAGAATGTGGCTAACCAAACAGTTGCTGTACTCCAGTGACTTCCATGGTATATTTAAGCAAGAAAGAAATTAATACAGGTTTGGAACAACATTAGAGTGAGTAAATAATGACAGAATTTTTATATCTGGTTGCAGTAGAGCTCTCTTTAAGGACACGCGGCAGCATAATAGATACTGTCTATTTAACAGCTGCACGCGACGTCTCTAATACACGCATTTGACAAGCAGATTTTCTCGGTTTGCTTTCACTTTAGACATAACCAAGTTTGTTTATGTAAACCTTGACAGGCTTTTAGTTCCTGTGAGCGTCGGGTATACGTGCTGAGAAAAGCGCACGTTTGAACAGCGCATCAGCACGTGAATGACATGTTTAGCAAGACTTTGACGCACATGCTAATAATGAACTTTTGTGAATTGCAGTGTCCCGTGAGTGTAACTCTATACCTCTGCGTTTACATGTGATGTGATGTGATGTGATGTGAATGCACGTCGCGTTGTATATAGGCCTAGCATGTTAAGATGAAGGCGCCAGAATTGAACTGATAGAATGCACGATACTATGATTTTTCTTCAAAAGCAGATCGTGGAGACATTTTAATCGTCCACGATCAAAAACCGTGATTATCGCACACCCCTAGTTTGAAGTTAAGTTCACGGTCGTCACGTGGGCATGGTCACACTACCCTATCGGCAAGGCTCATCGGCAGTAATATTCATATCTCTGCCGATGCCGATGATGGTCATTTTAAGCTTTTATCGGCCGATACCGATGTTGTCCCGATATCATCGTGCATTCCTAACCTGTTCCTTTCTTCATTGTTTTTTTCCTCCAAGAACAACATCCTTGGCTAAAAGGCATATTGTCTGTTGTTAGCATTCTATTCACAATTATAGTTTACAAGGCTGCAATGCATGTCAAAATAATACGTAACATGTACTCCCCATTTTTGACCATTTGTATTTGCATCATGGACTGCAAGTTTTAGTTTTGTTATTGTTTCTTCCAAATTGATTTTCCTTGGAAAATATGTACATAATATGAGCAGCGGTAAAGTTTGATGGGTCTTTTTTTGTTTTTTGAGGGGCTGGTGGATTAGATCACGGGTGACTGGTGGATTAGATTGATGAGAGTAGCCAGCGGGGACTAAATAGCCTTCTGCCCACATATTGGAACAGATCTTCTGGCAGCCATCAACACTTTGAGACTGAGAAATCTGTCTATCACCTCTCATTTTCATCCAGATCTGACCATCCAGACTATGATGAGCTTCTGCTGTAGAAATACACTCACTCTGCCTTGTCTTTCAAAGGATTTAGATCGGTAATATATAGGCTACACAATACTTATGGAATATATAATATCTTTGTCTTCCAACACTGCCATGAGAATAGTTCTTAAAGGAGAACTCCGGCGCAAAATGAACCTTTGGTCTAATTACACATTGTTACCTAGTCAACCGTTATCTGAGATTTGTTTTCATGATTATCGAATGTAAATAGTTTTATCTCTAAAAACAGTTTAGCCTATAAAGCTAGTATAACGGGCATAGTGTAATGACAAATAAAAATCGCTTGTTAATACCACTAACAAGGCTCAAAATAGCCCCACACTAACACGGTAGCATAATGAGGGTCCCTACCTGCAAACCGAAGCATTGAGAACTTTGTCAGTGTCCAGACAGTTTAATAAGAAGATATTTTAAACATACAGTCAACTTCTCGTATACAGGCACAAGCCATCTTTGAAATACAGTCTTTACCAGTCGATCTACGAACGCCGATCCAAGCCTGCTGTTCGCGCTCACCTTATCACAACTTATAGCTCGTTCACATTCTCACCAGCGCACTTGGATCGGCGTTCGTAGATCAACTGGCAGAGACTGTATTTCAAAGATGGCTCCTGTCTGTATACGCGAAGTTGACTGTATGTTTAAAATATCTTCTTATTAAACTGTCTGGACACTGACAAAGTTCTCAATGCTTCGGTTTGCAGGTAGGGACCCTCATTATGCTACCGTGTTAGTGTGGGGCTATTTTGAGCCTTGTTAGTGGTATTAACAAGCGATTTTTATTTGTCATTACACTATGCCCAATATACTAGCGTTATACTAGCTTTATAGGCTAAACTGTTTTTAGAGATAAAACTATTTACATTCGATAATCATGAAAACAAATCGAAGATAATGGTTGAC